GAGAGAGAGAGAAAGAGAGAGAGAGAGAGACAAAAAGAGACACAGAGACAGAGAGACAAAAAGAGAGACAGAGACAGAGAGAGATGAAGAGTCAGAAAAGAGTGACATTTGTATTGTAGGTACTATTCTCCATTTCTTTAGTCAAGCCCCTCTCAGATTCCTTTACTTTATGAAGTATTAATTAACAGATCTCTCCATATTACTGTGGGATTATTCAGATGAAAGTCATTGGCAAGAAGGGACATATTAACAGTTTCCTTTTAATCTACTCCAAAGATGCAGATGTACCTAAAAGAAAAGAAGTATATTGAACTCTTCATTGTTGCTGATCATGCCTTGGTAAGTTTTCAGAGGAATCTCCAAAGGTCATCCAACAGTTCAATAAATGCACTTTTACCTCTTGGAGATGGTACGTGGTCCCAGAGTGGGTTATCTTGGAGATTTGTCTGAAGGGCTCCAACCTGAGCTCCACTGGGAGGGTCTTTGCAATGGGTGTTTAATCTCTTTTTAGGGTTGTGTAGTACTGTAGGACTAGTAGCTGGAACAATAATGAAAGATAACAATGTGCACTTATGGAGGATTGTAGTTTTACAAAGTGCTCTTACAACACTGAGAACACAGGCCACCCGGTGAAATCAATGTCAGTCAGTAACGAGACTAGACACTTTTGCACCGGGTTGAGAAGGGTGTGGGAGGTAAGAAACTAGAAACAACAAATAGTCCTCCTCTGTCCCTCCCCTTGGACTTTGCTAAGAGAGAAGAGACCTATGATTATAGCTTGAAAGGATGCAAGAGGCAACATTCCTCCTTGCAGAATAGGGTACACTGTCAGAAGAGGTAACCAAATCAGGTATTTTTTTTTTTTTAGTGAGGCAATCAGGGTTAAGTAACTTGCCTAGGGTCACACAGCTAGTAAGTGTCAAGTGTTTGGACTGAGGCTGGATTTGAACTCAGGTCCTCCTGACTTCAGGGCCGGTGCTCTATCACTGTACCACCTAGCTGCCCCTTTTTTTTCTTTTGTTCAGTGGGGAAGGGGGTATTGGAGTATTTTCAGAAATAATTGTGATGTAAATACAAAAGACATCAAGAATTTTTTTTCTTTAAATAGAAGAGTGAGCTTTAGCAAGGACTAGGGCCTCCTAAGAGGACTTGAGGTAGATATTGGGTGAGAAAAGGCAGTGCATGATGATAGCTCCTATTTCTGAATTTAGGTCTTCTGATGACCAGCAGAGGTGAAGGGAGTAGTTAGGCTGAGGAGAGAAGAGGAAGTCTGAAACAAATCCTCTGGACTATGCACATCATGAATTCCTGAATTTTTCATGCTTCCTCCATCTATTAACTCTCTTAATTATAATAATAGCTTGTAAGGATGGTACTGCATGTATTACTATCCCCGTTTTACAGATGAGGAAACTGAGTCTTAGGTTAAATAATTTGCCCATGGAAGTGTGGAAGTGTCAAAAGCAGGAATCAGATCCAGGTCTTTCTCACTCCAAGGTCCATATCTCTATGCCAGGTTTGCCTTCTTTGGAGAACTGCCTACTTGTGTCCTCTGATATTTGACTATTAGGAAATGGATTGTATTCTTATGTTTTTGGGCAGCTAGGCAGCACAGTAGATAGAGGAGTGCACTTGGAATTGGGAAGACCTGAGTTCAAATGTGACCTCAAGACTCACTAGCAAGTCATGAACCTTTCAGTCTCAGTTTCCTTTTCTGTAAAATAGGGATAATAATGGCACCCATTTTCAGGTTTATTGTGAGGATCAAATGAGATAATATTCACAAAATTCACTGCAAATGTTAAAGTATTATATAAATTCTAATTATCATAAAACCATCATTATCATTAATTTCCATCAATTCCTTAAAGATTTTGGATATCAGGGGCATCTAGGTGCGCAGTGGATAGAGTACTGGCCCTGGAATCAGGAGGACCTGAGTTCAAATGTGGCCTCAGACACTTGACGCTTACTAGTTGTGTGACCTTGGGCAAGTCACTTAATCCCATTGCCTAGCCAAAAAAAAAAGAAAGAAAGATTTTGGATATCAAATATTTATCAGAGACATTCATAACAATGATTTTAACTCATTTCTTTCTTTAAAAAAAAACAATTCTGGATTCATTCTTTTGTTTTGAAAAATATTTTATATACTAAAATTCATTCATTCTATAGTTTTTATTTGATTTGATTTGTTGAACATTTTAGAATTTTCCAACTCTCCACAACTGGGACAGACTTTTCAGTATCTTTTGATTTCATATGATGTTTCTATTTAGATTATTCAACACATTAAGTATCTATCTATTCATCCATCCATCTATCTATCTAGAAGGTTAGATATGGTCCCATGAGTCCTTGTTTATAGTGGAGTGTTTTATATATATATATATATATATAATATATATATATATATACACATAAATGAATGTGTATGTGTGTATATGTATATATATATGAATGTGTATGTGTGTATATGTTTATATGTATACATATATGTGTATTAATCAGATTATAGAAGTCTGACTATACTCATTTTAGGTCACCTAGTCTCAAACTTCCCATTGAATTTTTACTGCTCATTTTATTTTATCCTCTGAAGAGCTACAGTAATCTAGGAATATGATGTGATAATTTATTTCTCACTAACAAACTTGTAATCACATTAATTAGCAATATCAAGTCTCAACTCAAATTCACAAAATATTAATCATTTAATAAAATGGAGAAACTTTTCCCAACTGTGGTTACTCTTGTCTGTATGTAATTAAACATTAAAGTTACTTGGCACATGCAATTTGTAAATGAACAAAAACTTGTTGTGTTTTTGTCCTCCATTCTCAAAGAGAACCATGACATCAGGGAGATGATGACACGACTTGCTATTGACTTTGCTTTGAATGAGGGAGGGCTGTGCAAGGTCACAAGTCTCACTTTTTTTTAAACATGTGTCCATGGTTTAATTTCTCTCAAGGTGGCTTGACATGCACTGCATGGGAGTTCATTCCAAAACTGGGCCCCCTTAGGGCAGTTCAAAACTGGCTTGGGTTTGGATTTTAGGGTAGAGTCTTACATGTCCTTTGAAGAGTAGGTGTTCCCAAGGGGTGGCAATCAACTGTGATTGGTTGACACACTAGGAGGAGGCTCATATTAAAACGAGGTTCACAGGGGGCCAGTATTGCCCACCATCAAAGGAAAATACCACCTCTAGTCTTGGGAGTCTCTCTCTAGACCTGAATAGGATGAAATCAATTCAGGCCTGGGTTCAAGTTTGACCAAGATAAGAAGATTCAATGCAATCTCACTATCAGAGATGTCTTTCTGAAGAACTTTGGTCAGCAGGCCACCAGTCTCACTTTCTCCTCCAGAGCCATCTGGGTCCAGTGGCCAAATGTTCATCAGGATGACTGAAGATAGCTTCAGATGCAGTGGAAGATCCTGGCCCTTTTAAGCCAAGGGCCTTTCAGGGCCTCACTTTGAATGAGGCAACACCCATACTCACTTCTTGACTCACTTCTTAGCTTAGCTTAAATGAACAAAAGCATTAATAACATGAAGACCTCTCTCATTACATGGAATATGTTTGCTATAACCAGTATCACCACCAGAGTCCCCTCAACCCTTCATTATAACAGTAGATGATGCCTTTTCACTTCTCTGGAAGCTCTTACTTCATGCAACTCCAGATATTAATTAAAGTCTTCTGAATATTTTCTTTATGATTTTCCTAGAGATCAGTCTTCTCTTTGCTTTATTGTCCATAATCACAGAAAATCAGCTTATCTCATGCTCTTTACAGACTTCTTATATCTTTGTTTTTTTGGAGATTTTCTCATAAAATAAACTTGACAATCCCCACAAGTAAGAAGTTCATCTTCATTTTCTATTCTCTCTGACCTCTTCAAATGGCTTCCTCGTGGATAACAAAGTCCACACCTTCTAGCTGATTCCATAGGGACAAGTGACTTCACAACAAGCCATTTTGTGAAATCTTATAAATTTTCCAAACACTGTTTTTCCTACACATTCCATCTGCCTTCTCTTTGATTTTTAAAGCTACAGTCATAATAGCTATAGATTCTGAGATACACACTCAAAATAGAGCCTTTCTACATTACCACATTCCTCTCTCACTTTGTGTATCTCTTCCTTCTCCCTCAAAACTCTATGTATATGTGTGTATAATACATGTGGTGCTATATATGTGTGTGTGTGTGTGGTGTGTGTGTGTATAGCATGTATATGACATATATATATCCATATCCTATGTAAAATTTTACATGGTTTATGAGATGAGAGGTAATGTGATGTACCAAGTAGAGAGTTGTCCAACAATCTTGGATTCAGGAAGGCTTAGGTTCAAGTTCTACATTTGATATATGCTGACAATGTGACCTTGGGAAAGTCACTTAACTTTTCAGTGTTCCAAACAATTCTCTAAACCTTTAATTTAGAGATTAAGTAATTGTCTACATTTTGAGGGATAGAGTGGGGCATCACAACAGGGAGTTCTCTGTACTGATGAAATCTCAACTCTGGACATTTAGACATAGACATAGACATACACACACACACATACATACATACATATGCATATACACATATACACACACACACATATGCATATACACATATACACACACACACATATATATATTTTTTCTCTTTGCTACCATCAAAATTTCTGGACAGTTAAAAAAAAATTAAATAGTGAGCCAATAAACATTTATGAAGCATTTACTATGTGCCAGACACTGTACATGCTGAGTGTACAAAGAAAGGCAAAATGACAGTCCATGTTCTTGAGGAATTCTCAATCTATTCTCTCTCCTGTGTTTTATAATATTGTATATAAAGTCCATAGATCTTTTTTTTAAATGCATTACAGAAATGAAACACTTCCTGCCTTCAAATACCTTAGATTCTATGAGGAGGATGCAATGGGTTCACAAATGACTGCATTGAGATACTAAATAAATACAAGTGATAGGGCGGGGTGGGATAGCACTTGGTTATAATTCTCAGTTCTGTTAATCTGATTGTTTTTATCCATTAGCACATAGATAGCTTTTCATAATTATTGGGAGACTTAAATGACTTGTAGAATAATGCTTACAATTAAAGATCACATTACAGAAACAGTAACTTTTATGAAAAATAATGATGATAGAAATGTGCCACATCAAAATGTATGGGATGCAGATAAGGCAGCGTGATGCAGTAGGATGAGCAGTCTATTTGCAATCTGAGATCTGAGATTAAAACCCAGCTGTGCTCAATACTACTTGTGAGAACTTGGAGAAAGCCATTGCTGGACTGGGCTTCAGTTTACTCATCTATAAAACGGGGAGGTCAGACTAAGTGGCTTCTTAGCTGTCTTCCAACTGATCAATAAACACTGATTAGGTGTTTACAATGTGTCAAGCACTGTATGGATACAAAAGGAGGCAAAAGACAGTTCCTGCCTGAAAAGAACTCATAATCTAATCTTCCAGCTTTATGTCTGTGATCTGTATTATTTTTTAAGTCAGACTTGTATTTTCATTATAATAGGGAGCTATTCCATGAGGAAACTCCTTCAGTGAAAGTGGATCTTTGTTCAATGGGGAAGAGGGTATGGAGTATTTCTAGAAATAATTGTGATGTAAGTAAAAAAAATAAAATAAATAAGAATTAATCTTAGAGGGTGCCTAAAAGTTTAGGTGGACATATGACTAGTATACGTCTGAAGTCAGATTTAAACACAAGTCTTCCTGAATCTCAGGCTGGCTCTCTATCTACCATGACACCACCTCTGGTGATCAGAGTACAGAGGCAATAGCACATCCCTAAATGTACATTAATAAGAGGGGGAAAGGAGAAATAAAAGGAGTTTGTACTTAAAAAGAAATTAGAACTAAATAAATTAATATGCCAAAAGCAAACAAAAAAAAAGAAATAAGAAAAGAAATGGAGGAAAAGGGAGAGCTTGTAAGGGAGGACTCTGTGACTCCATTTGGGGTTTTCTTAGTAAAGATACTGATGTGGTTTTCCATTACCTTCTCCAGCTCATTTTATAGATAAAGAACTGCAACAAACAGGGTTAAGTGACTTGCCCAAGGTCACGCAGTTAGTAAGTGTCTGAGGCTGGATTTAAAATCAGGTCCTCTGAACTCTAGTGTTGACACCTAACTGCCCAGAAGGGACTTTAAAAAGTATGTAATCCATTTCTCAGAGGAGCAAACAGAGCTCTAAAACAACCCAGCAAGGTCCTTTATAGCTAAATGGCAAAAGTTATCCTGATTTTCAAAAAAGGAGAGGAAAGCAGAGTCTAGAAACTATAGACCAGTGAAGTTGGCTTTGATTCCTTTGAGAATTATTGACTGGGTCATTAAAGGGATGGTTGTTAAACATCTAGAAAGGAAAGCAGTAATTACAAGAGCCAGGATGGTTTCATCAAAATCTGGTCATGTCAGATTAACAATATTTCCTTTTTTGACAAGATTCTAAACTAGTAAATGAAGAGAATTCAATGAATATAGTTTATCTGGATCTTAGCAATTTTAATAAAGCATTCTATACCATTCTTATTGAGAAGATGGAGAGATAGGGACTAGATAATAAAATTGAATGGATTCAAAACTGGTTGTATGATTGTACTCACACTGGGGTTATTAATGGTTCAGTGACGATGTAGCAGCGGGGAATATCTTCCAGGGATAAGGAGGTGGTAGTTTCCCCATATTCTGCCTTCATCAGACCTTCTCTGGAGTTCTGTGTTCAGATGGGCATTACAGTAAGAAGGTCATTGAAAAGCTAGAGAGTAACTAGAGATGGATGAGTGCTGAGTTATTTTCATGTGCAAAAGAGAAGATGGGAAGACCTGGTAGCTGCATTCAAGTATTAAAGGGCTGCTATTTTAAGGATGGATTAGAGTAGCTATATTTGACCCCAGAAGGCAGAATGGGTAGAAGTCACAAAGAGGACAATTTAAACTTGATATCAGGAACATCTTCCTAACGCTTCTTTTTTTGTTCAGTCATAGTCAACTCTCTGTGATGCCATTTGGGGTTTCCTTGGCAAAGATACTGGAGTGGTTTGCCATTTCCTCCTCCACCTCGTTTTACAAATGAGGAAAGTGAGGAAAACAGGATTAAGTGATTTACAGAGGGTCACACAACTAGTAAGTGTCTGAGGTCAGATTCCAATTCTAGAAGAGTTTTCCTGACTCCAGGCACTCTATGCACTATGGCACCTTCTAGCTGCCCCAGGGATTTAAACTAGAGTTTAAATAGCTTAAAATCCATGTTGTAGTAGGATTCTTTTTCAAATATACATAGCACTATATGATGTTTGAGGAGCCCATGACTCTTTCATTCTTGACTCTAGGACCAGAGTTTATTCAGGAATTGACTAAAAGTCATTATAAAAGGAAGAAAAAGATCTTTTTTTTTCTTCCATTATTGCTTTCAAATCTTTTCTTGGCTATAGGCATGAATGGAATGTTACCTGCCTCAATGGAGAAAACACCTACATTGATAATATCCCAGAGTCACTGTTATATTGGGTCTTCTCAAAATGTGTAAGCTCTTTTCTAGAGCTTTTCTCTTTGTGTCTAACAGAGGCTTCCCAAAATTGTATTTCCAGTACCGAAGACACAACCATCTGCAGAAATGGCTGCGTACCCGAATTTTCAGCATGGTCAATTTTGTCAACATGGTAAGTAAGATACACTGCAGTCTGACTGAAGTTCAAGTGCCACTGGACAGACTTTTCAGGCTAGTTTCTGGGTTTTCTTGAGCAATGATGAGGCAGGAGCACAGACCACACAAACCAAGACAAATTCTGCATGTTATTTTTATCACAAATTATTTATCATAGTTACCTCAAGCAATTCTCTGGGACCAGATTGGTTGCAAATGGACTTAATAAAGAAATCCTCTACTCCAGGAGTCCCCAGGCTTCCAAAATCAAATTCTTCCTTTATTTCCTTATATAAACAAAAACATGCTGATTTAAAACAGTTTGCCAAGTTCAGTCCTCACAACAGCAATATGAGGTGTCACAAGTATGATTATCTTAATTTTGTTGTTCAGTCATTTTAATCTCTTCCTGTCCCCATTTAGAGTTTTCTTGGCAATGATACTGGAGTGATTTACCATTTATTTCCTTCTCCAGCCCATTTTACAGAAGAGGAAATTGAGGCAAAGAAAGTTAAGTGACTTGCCCAGGGTCATACAGCTAGTAAGTGTCTGAGGCCAGATTGAAACTCAGGTCTTCCTGACTCCAGGTCTGGCACTCTATCCACTGTGCCAACATTACTGAACTTTTACAGATGAGGAAATTATGGCTCAAACAATTAATCAACAAGTGATTATTAAGCATGAACAATATGTCCCTTTGATTCACAATTGATCATTTAGCATACATTGATCACCTACTATATACTAGGCATTGTGACAAAAACAATCGACCAATGCTTGCCATTACAGAACTTAAATTCTACCAGGAGAGAGACCATGTACATATAGCAGTTCAAGGAGAATTAAGGACTGGATTTATGATTTCACTGGTTTGGAGGGAACTCCCAGGCAACAAAAGCTCCTTTACCAATACTGTCATCACATTCTCTGTAACATACAGTCTTAGAGAGTTTCCTGGCTCATTGAGAGGTATAGTAACCTGCCTAGGGTTTCACAGTCAGTATGTGTGAGAAGCAGGACTTACACCCATGCCTCCCTGGTTTTGAGATCACCTCACTATCCCTACGCCATGCTGTCTTTCTGAATTTAAATCCATCCTCAGATACTTACTAGCTGTGTGACCCTGGACAAGTCACTTTACCCTGTTTGCCTCAGTTTCCTCATCTGTAAAATGAACTGTAGAATGAAATGACAAACCACTGTAGTATCTTTGCTGAGAAAAGCCCCAATGGGCTCCAAAGAGTCAGATACAACTGAACAACAACTACCCCCAGACTTCAACTACTGCTTTGTCTACACTCTTTTCCCTTCCCATTCTTTATCCCTTAGTGAATTGGTCCAAATCTACACCATTCTCTACTGTTGAATCTCTTGTTCCTTTGCTTTATGGCCAATCACCTCCTGACAAAATGAAACCCTGTTGTATTCCACCATCTGCCTACTCTCTTCCTACTCAGTTTCTGCTGAACAGAACCGAAGAAATTTCCCATGGAACTGTGCAGACTAGGCTCACTACAGCTGCCTTCCGTGGATTCAGTAAACACCTCTGTGCTGATGATTCTTAAATTGATTTGCCCTGCCCTAATCTTTCTCCTGTCCTCTAGTCTCTCTCCTCCAACTTTTTATTGGACATGCTGAACTGCATGTCCTGTAGGCATCTGAAAATCACCAAGTACAAAAATAAGTGTCTCTTCTGTAAAACCTTCCCCTCTTCCTAACTTCCTTATTACTACTGAGGGCACCACCATCTTCCCAATCACCCAGGCTGGCAATTCTCAGTGTTATCCTCAGCTCCTCACTCTTTCAACCCTGCCCCCACCCTATAATTCAACCTATAGCCAAGGCCTGGGGATTTTACCTTTATAGCATCTTTTGAACACACCCCCTTTTCTGCTGTTACATTACCACCACCCTTATCACCTCATGGCTAGACTACTGAAATAGTCTTTCCTCACTCCAGTCTATCCTCCCCTCAGCTTTCAAAATGATCTTCTTAAAACTTAGGTCTGACCCTGTCTCACACCTACTCAATAAACTCCAACAATTTTCTCTCTTTTCTCTCTATTTTCTTTCTCTTCTCTTTCTCTTCTCTTTCTCTCTTCTTCTTCTTCTTCTTCTTCTTCTTCTTCTCCTCTTTCTCTCTCCCCCCCTCTCTCTCTCTCTTTCTTTCTCTCCTACAACATAAATGGAAAATCCTCTGTTTGTTCATCAAAGACCTTCATGACCATCTCACCCCCACACACATCTCCAGTCTTCTTAAACCTTACACTGCCCTCTCCCCACCCAAACACACTCACACCTTCTCTGTGGCCTCTTTCCTATTCCTCAGAAGAATACCTGATCTATATTGGAATGCTGTCCCTCTTCTTCTCCACTAGCTGGATTCATTCAAGTGCCACATACAACACTCTCTCCTACAGGAAGCCTTTCCCAGTCCCCTTTAATTCTAGTACCTTCCCTGTATCGATTATTCCCAATTTATCCAACATATAGTTTGTTTATACATATTTGTTTGCATATTGACTCCCTTATTAGGCTATGAGTTCCTCTTTTGTTGTCGTTTTAGCTGTGTTGTAATCGGCCTGTCTTTTTAGTTGTGTTCAACTCTTCATGACCCCATTTGGGGTTTTCTTAGCAAAACCACTGAAGTGGTTTGCCATTTCCTTCTCCAGTTCATTTTACAGATAATGAAACTGAGACAAACAGGGTTCAGTGACTTGCCCAAGGTCATACAGTTAGTAAATATCTGAGGTTGGATTTAAACTCAGGAAGATGAGTCTTCCTGACTCCAGAGCTGGCACTCTGTGCACTATGGTGCCACCTAGCTTCCTCTATGAGATCCTCTAGAGCAGAGACTATTTTTGCCTATTTTTGTATTCCTAGTGCTTGGAACATATTAGGTGACATATACATACATATACACTTTCATGCATATGCATGTGTATATACATATACATGTATGTATGTGTATATACATATACATGTATATACATATGCATGTATATATACATGTATGTATATGTGCATATACACATAGACATAGACATAGACACACACCCACATAATTTCTTCCCATTATTAAGTAAGCTCCTTGAGGATGGAACTGCCTTGTTTACCTATTTGTGTGTCCTTAGAACTTAGCACAGTATCTGAAACCTAAGAAATATTTAATAACTGCTTTATCATGTAATATCATACTATGTGCAAGATACTGTGCTAAGCTAAAGGAATAAACATAGAAAGCATGTAGGATAGTACCTACCCACAAGAAACTTACATTCTTATGGGAAAAGACAACATATAAAGTAGAGCTGAAAGAGGAAGAGGGGCTAGTTTCCACAGCAGTGTGGTATAGACATGGCCCAGAAGGAGTTTGCAGGTCCTGGTGAAAGCACTGGAGAGCACTAAAATTGCTAACTATGGGTTTTCTTTTCTTTAAAAAATCTTTGATTCCAACAGAATATAATGTATTTTAGGCCAAGGAATTTTTTGCCTTTGTCCTGGTGTCCTTAATATCTAGCTAAATGATTAAAGGAAATTAATAAATGTCAAAGAAAGGGAGGAAGGAAGGAAAAAAGGAGGGAGGGAGGGAAGGCACAAAAGTGTTTTGTTTTGATTTGTTTTTTCCCTTTGGACAGCTTTATAAAACCTTGAATATTCGAGTGATCTTGGTTGGTCTTGAAATGTGGACAAATGGAGATAAAATAGAAGTCAGTTCAAACCTGGGTACTACCCTCCTTTACTTTGGTGGCTGGCAGGAGACAACCTTGAAAAAAAGAAAGAATTTTGATCATGCTCAGCTACTCAGGTAGGTGATCCTCCTTTTCTTTGACATTGGACAAGACATCCATCCACTGGGAGACTTTCCTCTCTGCTCTGCAGACAAAGCCTCTGGGAGGAAATTCATTTGGATTTGTTGGAGGTGGGAGGATTGTATTGGTTTAACACAGTGCATTGAGTCACAGTAAATTTCCCAATGTTCTCTGTTATTTTTAGAAAAGCATTTTTTTCCTTCCAAATTCTAATGAATAATAGACAAAATGAAGCTGACATTGGAATTTGTTTTACTTTGGCCAAGTGATACAAGAAGGAAAAAATGCCTCTAAATTTCCCTTCTCTCTCTCAATGCCTCTCCTCTCTCCACTGATGTTATCTGTGGCCTGTGCTCCTTCTCTAGCCATCAGGATCCCCATGAACCGGCCCCAGTTAGGCTTACCTCTACTTGGACAACACCTGGAAGCCACAGATCTGGATAGAGTCTTTGAGACCATCCAATCAAAACTCATCATACAAATGAAGACCCTCAGGCTAAGGGAGTGTAAAGGATTTATCCAAGGTCACACAGCTAGTAAACATCAAAATAGGGAATTTGAAGCCAGATCTATGGACTCCAAAGCTATTACTCTCACCACTCTCTTAAAAGGAAGGGACAGAGGTAAGGAACAAATATGTTCCAGGAATGAGGCATAGCCTGTGAAAAGACACAGAGGTGAGAGATGGGATGTCCTTCATGGGGAATGGCAAGACAGCCAGCTGGACTCGAAGTGGGGATCATTATCACCCCAACTTTGCAGGGTCATTGTGAGGATCAAATCTTATAAGGCATGCAAAGCAGTTTGCAAAACAACACAGTATAAAAATGTCTGTTATTATTATTATTATTGTTATTATTATTATTGTTATTATTATTATTTTCACACCAACAACACTGATTCAGGAAATGGCTCATGAAGAATATATTTCTCTTGTGTTTACAGTGGAAACTGGCTCTCACAGACTGCTCAGGGAACAGCATACCCCTGGGGGATGTGTGTGCCCTACCACTCCTCTAGTATTGTAAAGGTGAGTTCCATTTAAAGTGACCAAGTGTGGTTTGGAGCAAAAGTGAATTTTCTATTTTAGAGGCAATCCCCTCAGGAAGAGGCATAGCATATATGTGTGGGCACTTCTTCCTAGTGGGCTGAACTAGGGACAATTAATGGATCTGATATGCAGAGGCAGATTTGGCCTGCAAGTCAGAAAAGGAAGGTGGCGTCAATTAGTGAATAGAGCATAGGTTTGGAGTCAGAAAAGAACTGGGTTTGATTCATGCCTTAGACAGTTTGGTTGTTCAGTCATTTTCAGTTATGTCTGACTCTTCATGACACCAGTCGGGGTTTTCTTGGCATAATGCTGGAGTGACTTGCCATTTTCTTCTCCAACTTATTTTATAGAAGAGTAAACTGAGGCAAATGGAATCAAATGACTTGCCCAAGGTCACATAGCTAGTCACTGGGGGGAGTTCAAATCCCCCAGATTTGAACTCAGGAAGAAGAGTCCTTCTGACTCCAGGCCTGGCATTCTGTGCCCTATGCCTAGCTGCCCCAGGCACTTCTCCAACCTTAAGCAAATTATCTTACATATCTGAATCTTAGTTTCTCTTCTGTAAAATGAGGAGGTTAGACTCAGTGATCTTTAAGGATCCTTGCAATGCTAAATATGTTATCCCAATATGCTGTTGAAAATAAAATCCTAACTATTAGAACTAACACAAAGTGCAATGGGTTGCCCCCAGGAAGTAGTGAGGTTCCCATGATTAGAAGTTATGGAGCTGTGGCTGGAGGATTGCTTATCAGGTGTGGGATATATTAAGTGACCTTTGTGGTTTCTTCCAGCAGAGAGCCTGTGAAGTATTCCCCAAAATAGAGCAGGCCCTGTCCTTTTCTTCTTTGGCAAATATGGGATGAAAGTTTTATAGATGACTTTAATAAGGAGGGGAAAAAAGAATCAAAAGTAGTTAGAATAAGGATTGTTCAAAATAAATAAATGATCCATAAAGGCAAAATATCAAGATTATAAAATGTCACATGCCCATAAATGGTAATTATTTATAACTACTTTATTTGGAACTTGATCGCTGATGCAGCAAAGAGAGAAGCCGTCCTTCTTTTTGATGAGAAAATACAACGTAAACAACTTCATACATCATGCTCAGACATCCGTCCAAAGACTTTCCAGAAGGCTCCAGGCCTGCAGAATCTCAGTTTTATTCCTGGGGGATCTTGTTTGCTCCTATTTCTTCCCAGCCAAAGGACACTTTTTTACTTGGATCTCATATTTTTGACATGGATCTCTGGAAAATCTCCACTCTCAAACTTCACTACATGGATCCCTAGAGAAAATAAAGGTGGAAAAATGATTGTAAGCCGCTGCTCAGTGTCAATTACACTATCTTGACTCCTTTCGACCTTAGCTTTCCAAATGAGTATGTCCAATGTGCAGCCATGTGAAGGGTTCACGGTGTTATTCAATTTTTTTTCAATATGACATTTCATTAATGAAATTTTTGCATCATAGACATAGGATGACTTGGTCTAGGTTGTTGTCACTATAATATTTCGGCTAATGACCTAATGATGGGGCATCTGCTGACCAGATTGCAGCACTTTCCTCTAAGGCAGTAGAATCAAAGGACCAACATTGGGCCACTAGGTGACCTAGTTTGTATCCATCTTTGTATGTTAAAACAGATAGAACTTGAATGCCATTCTTGGACATTTGTTAACCAATACCTAGCCAAGTCACCTGACCTGTATATTACTCAGATAGCTCCCTAAGACTTATCTACCAAGTTATAGATAGGTTGAGTTCTGCTCCATTGAAGAGCATGTGCATATCAAGAGAGAACTGTGTTTTATTTATCTTTGTAAACTCCATAATGCCTTGTGCATGATAGGGGCTCATAATGTATTTGCCAAAATCAAATATAAAAATTAAAGGTGATCAGTGAGCTATTTGATACAACAGAGCTTTATGAATCCAAAAGAATACCATTATTGTACTGAGTGGCCAACTTATAATATCATAGAATGTCAAAACTGGACAGCCCCCAGAACACAGAAGTCAGAATTTAAAGGGACCTTAGAATAGAGCCTGTGAGAGTTGATAGAGACCTTAGAACATAGGATAGAACTTTGGGAGAGATTTTAGGGCACAAAACAGAGCTAAGATATGTTTTAGAAATCTAGTCCAACAACCTCATTTTACAAAGAAGGAAGTGATGTTAAATAATTTGTTTTAGGTCATGAAGATAGTTCAGGGATTCATAGATTATTAGAACTGAAAGATACTTTAGAATAAAGACTGTCAGAGTAAGGAGAGACCTTAGAACAGAGAATGTCCAAGCTGAATGAGACTTGGGAACAGAGAATGTTAGAGCTGGGAGATATCTTACAGCACAGAAATGGTAGAGTTGGGAGGGACCTTAGAACAGAGCATGTAAAAAATTGGAAGGGCTGTGAAAATAGAGAATATCAGAGCTGGGAATGGCCTTAGAACATAGTATGTCAAGACTAGAAGTGACCTTGAAATGTGAAATTTTTTCATTTCTTAGAAATGATCTTGTCAAACCTCCTCATTTTAAAAAGGAGGGAATGAAACTCCAGAGAGGAGGTCAGTTACCCAAGATCACTGGTCAGCAAGGGGCAGATCCAGAATAACTCCCCATGCCTCATGCCTTCTAGGCCAAGTCTCTGCTCTACCCCATTGTATACTAGATGTTACTAATGTGTGTTTATTGCACCAGGATCACTTACATGACACCAACATGGTGGCTGACAAAATGGCCCACGAGCTGGCTCATAGCCTTGGAATGCGGCATGACACTTATTCCTGTACTTGTACCTATGGACGATGTGTGATGGATGGAGGAGGAAGGTGAGACTGTTGGAGAAGACGAACAAACGTGATTTTTCTCTGAGTAGCTTCAGATCTCAATTCTATTTGGTGCATATTTGTTTCTGTCCTGAGCAAGAGAATGTCTCTTGTGTTCCTATACCCCAACTTGTGTTCTATTCATGAATAAAGAGCTTGAGATAAGGTCCTACTCATAGAAATATGGCAATATGCAATTGAAATTTCCATAAAATCAGTTATCAGGATGATCTTTCAAAAAATTCAGGATTATGGCCCATAGGCACAAGTTCCAATAAGTTTGGACTTGGCACTGCCCTAGCACAGTCTCCTACATCCCCAGCTTGATCCCCATGATTGAAGAGGACCAGTTGATTTGCAAGGTCTCTATAAACTAATGAGAACATTCAGAAGATCTCTGAATTTCTGGACCAGCTACTTCCTGAATATAAAGGAGACATCTTGGGAAGGATACTACTGTGAAAGGGATTCCCAGGAAGTGCTCTGGAGTTCTGGAGGGAACCCCATGGGTTAGTCATGGCCAAAATTGTCTTAACATCCAGTGCCTAGACCCCTTAAGCAAAGGACACTAAGGGTTCAGAAAGTTGTCACTCTGGCATTCAGTTAAGTTTAGAATTCCAAGTATGAATCACATTGCCAATCTACTTATATGTACTAAACATCTGATAAGTTTCCATTGCAGATTTTTTTTCCCTGTGAGGACACAATAAATGCATATTTTATGGTGACTGACCTCAACAAACTTTAACTCACTAGAGAAACCAAGCTAATGCTCATAAATCAATCAACTAATCAATCAAAAGATAAAAATGAACTAGTCCCTTCTCTCAGGGTGCTTATGTTCTTTAGGGAGGGTACCATGTATATGTCAGAATAGTCCCAAAATAGATACCAGGTGATTTGAGGACAGGAGGATGCTATCAGCTGGGAGAGGCAGTTCTCATATAGAATGTGACAATCAAGCACATCGTGAAGAAAATAAGGGATGCTAAAGATCTGAAGATAAGAAAGGTGTGTGTTCCAGTCATGGAGGACAACCCGGACATAGTCATAGAAATGAGGGAGGGAAGGTTGTACATGAGGAACAGTATAGTGAAGAACAGACCAGTTCAAATGGACTATGTATGGAGTATTCTGGGGGGTAATGTGGAATTGGGTTGGAAAGGTCAGTTAGGAACAGTTTTGGAAAGGCATTGAATATGAATTTGTAATGTGCCAGTAGACTGCATACCAGTCATTAAGCTAATTGCTAGAGATATAAATAAAAACAAACAAAATTGTTTCTTCTGAGAAGGAGAATACAGTCTAATGACAAAGATAGTGCATTAAGGAAGACTGGAAGGTGTATGGTTGGGTGTGGTTTGTATTCCATCCTAAAGGTAAACAGAGACAAATATGGCAGAACATAACTGAGAGATAATTTGTAAGGTAGGGATAGGAACTCCCAAACAAAGAAACTTCCTATAAATGTAGGTCAGCTTCTCTGAAGCTGATCATTGTAGAGAGTTACCCATAGCACAGAGGGTGAGTGACTTGTTCAGGGTCACACAGCAAATGTGTGTTAGAGGTAAGACTTGAACCTGGGTCTTCCTTGCTCTAAGGCTCTACACACTATACCACATTGCCTCTTCCTGGAGTACAGATAATAAATGCTTTAGAAATTCAGGAAAGGAAGATTAGTATGGATGTGAATGCCTGGAAGAGGTTTTATGGAAGGAGGTGAGATCTGTTCTGTACCCCAAGGACAGTAAGAGTAGGATCAACAGAGAAGAGGGTGAGGCCAGACACACTGAGAGTATCACATTAAGTTTAGGAGCCCCCCATTTTGGCAACCATGATGAGAAATTGTAGTGTATCAAGAGAAGTAGAATCAAGATACTGAAAGACCTTCAACCCATGATATAGAAGAGGATCAGCTAGAGGAATGGGCATGTTTAATCTGGAGAAGAGAGGGCTGAAGGACATTATAGGAAGTATGCCAGGAACTTGAATGTAAACATACAACATTCAATAGGACCCCATGGAACAAAGTGCCTTGGCTTAATTAGCCAAGCATGTGTTTGCTTATCAATACTTACAAAATTTTAGTAAAAAATAATTAGATTTTAGTTTTCCCCAAGGTTGTGAACCCTTTTCCTTCTAGAATATATGAATATACATTATCTATACATATATACACATATACACATGCATATATACATGTGCACACACACACACACACACACACACATACACACACTCAGTCTCCCTTGGTGATCTTACTTACCCATGGATTAAATTATCATTCTATTCAAATGATTTTCAGCCCTGTAGTCCATCTCTAGTCTTTGTCCGAGATCTAGTCTCATATCACCAATTATCTTTTGGCCATCTTAAACTGGTTATTCTGTAGGCATCTCAAATCAACATTTCTAAAACAAAACATTCTTCCCAGAGCACATATCTTCCTAAATTTTCTATTTCTCCACAGGGTGCCACCAACACAATCACTCAGACTTGTAGCTTCAATATCATCCTCAGCTCTTTACTCTTGCCTTACATAGCCAATTCTTTGACTAGCCTTGCCATCTCTTCCTCTGCCACATCTATCTTAGAAATCTCTTACTCTCCATCAACCCAGGCACCATGGGAATTCAGAACCTTGTTACCTCTTCCTTGGATTATCATAAAAGTCTTCTCATTGGTCTTCTTGTCTCCACTGTCCCTTCCACTCAGTTGCCCAAATGATTTTCCTAATGTGTAGGTCATCCTGTGGTACCTTCCTACTCATTACTCTCCAGTGGTGGTTTCTTCCAAGAGCAAAAGTAAAGTCCTCTAGTATTTAAATCACTTAAATCCCTGGCCCCTTCTGACCTTCCTCGGCTCCTTCTACCTTTCTTCTCTACCATTAGAGTTACCTCCAAATGAAATTGGTTACCTCCAGAGGTAACGGATTTGCCTCATTGGAAGTCTTCAACCAAAGGCTGGACAACCACCCCTGGGTATGTTGCAGCTGAGCTTCCTTTTCCTACCGACTGAGAGAAAAAGTTTGAAGCACAGTTCCAAGGAGGAGGAGGAGGAGGAAGAGAAGCAGCAGCAGCAGCAGTAGGGATAGCAGCAGCAGTAATAGTAATAGTAGTAGCAGTAGTAGCAGCAGTAGTAACTTTTGCTAATATTTATTTAGCATGTGAAGATTTGCAAAACCCTTTATGTATGTTATCTCACTTGATCCTCACAACTCTGGGAGGTGGGTGCCATTATTATCTTCATTTTATAGAAAAGGGGATTAAGGCTGGGACAGAGACATGCAATGAGTAAGTGTCTGAGGCAGGATTCAGTTAGGTCTTCCTGATTCCAAGTCCAAAGCCCTTACCTCCATACCACCTAGCTGCCTCAGCCTATCTCTCCTTTACATCTCTACTCCCACTATCACCTCTTCCTCCTTACCACTGGAGTCTTAGACTATATCTGGAACCACCCTGGGCTCTGAGAGACCAGATTAAGGCTTATCTTCAATCCCATAAAGCCACCATATTTCATGGCCATTTCCAAAGCATACCCAACCACATCTTCCAGTACCCCTTCATGCATTATCTTTGTCATTAGAATGTAATCTCCATAGAGACAATTTTGAATGTTTTTATTTATATCTCTAGCAATTAGTTTAATGATTAGCACATAGTAAGCATTTAATCAATGTTTTATTTATTGTATATCCATCCATTTGTCTATTTTTATCAATCTGTCCATCCATATCTGTCTGTCTATCTATCTATCTATCCATGCATCCATCCATCCATCCATCCATCCATCTATTTATTTATCTATTTATCTCTCTTTAGCAAAAAAAAAAAACTGTTCTGATTTTAGTACCTGTAGAAAAAAAAAATGAATGCCTTCTCAGTTAAGTCTTATGACAGGAAAGCACAAGGTTCTTCTTGGATGGGTACGAGCTAAGTGAAGGGCATCCCTCACCCTCCTGACCACAGAGGGCAGCTAAATTGGCCATCTCTCTCATCCTTACAGTGCTTGGCACTCCCTTTCCCATCTCCACCTATTTGCACTTGCCATGCCCCATGCCTAGAACACATTCCCTCTGCTTCATGAAGTCCTCCTCTTCTTTAAGATGTAACTCAGTTTTTCCTGATCCCCACAAATGCTGATGCCCCCCCACTACCATGTATTTAACTACTCCAAATGTTTTGCATTAAGATATAGCCATATAGATATATGCATATGTATGCACATCATATACATACGGATATACATATTTGCATGTACATATTCATATATCCACATACACATACATACACATGCATACATACTTATATACAAACACATACATAAGTATAAATATGCATACATGCAGATATACATAAATTTATACTTGGCAACTTGCCCATTAGAATGTGAGCTTCTTGCAAGTAAGAATTGCTTTGTTATTTGTACTTGTAACTCCAGTACCTACCAGAGTGGCTATCACATAGTCAGTGCATCATAAATGCATGTTGACTGATTTATTGATTGGTTTCTCATATAGTATGTGAAAGATCTATTTTTTGGCAAAAAACAAAACAAAACAAAACAACATTTTCTTTCTGAAAGATCTTAATGCAATTCAGCTGGGAATCTCCCAGAGTTGGATCAAGAGTAATAAGAAGGCTTTTAGCATGTATGAGAGATGACTGTATCCTTCTGGGGCATGCTATCAGCCCTGCAGTGCATCTTCCCATCTTCAGGGCTAATCTTTCTCTTGTTTTGCTTCCTCATCCCCAGCATCCCCTCCCAAGGATTCAGCAAATGCAACCGGAACCAATATCGTCAATATCTCCTGGATTACAAGCCGATGTGCATCCTTAACGTTCCACTCTCTAAGGACATAATTATGTTCCCAAAGTGTGGGAACCAGATATTAGAAGTGGGAGAGGAGTGTGATTGTGGCAGCTTGGAGGTACTTACGGGGAGTGGGTGTTTATTAATGATCAGATTTGAAAGGAAGGCAGAAATTCATTAATCCTGACAAGTTAGCAAACAAATGGTGGCATTTAAATTAAAATTCAATCTTAAAGCTCACAGGAGCTCATGTCAGGCCCTGTGTTATCATTGTTGAATCATGACTCATACAAATTGGGCATTCTGGAGACCAGGAGCACTCCAGTTTCCAGGTTCCTAACACCTCAGTTGTGGAAAAGATCTTAGAGGCCATCTCATCTAACCTCTAGCCCTATGCCAGAAACTTTGCTCTAGAAAAATAGCAGGAGGGCAACAACTATGTGTCAGACACTGTGCTAATCACTAGGATACAAATACAAACAACACAAGACAGGTACTGCCTTCAAGGATCTTAACATTGTAACAGGAAGGCACCACATAAAAGGGAACCAATGGGGTTCCCACAAGGGACATAAAGGCGAGGTCCATAGAGTTGGAAGCACAACTGGCAAGAAGAATAAAACATGATGGGCCTGGGCCCATCCCAAAAGGAACACACCAATGGGAGAAGGGAGCTGACCTGGTACAGGGAGATTCCAAGGTGAGGAGGCAGCTGAGTCATGACAGTGATGTCCCTAAAGACAGAAGCACAGCAGGGAAGGGGAATGAACATGGCAAATAGTCCTCCATTCTCTGCTTGAAGACTTTTTTTTTTTGGTGACAGGGGTGTGATGGCCTCCCAAAGCAGCTATTTCCAGTCTTAAGCTGCTCTAGCAGTTAAAATATTCCTTGTTTTGTTGAGCTAAAAATCTTCCTCAGCGCTCCTTCTGTAATTACTCTAAATTGGCACTATGGGGCCAGGTAGAATCCATCTAGTCTTCATTTCATTTAAATACAGGGTGTCCCAAAAGTTAGCATAGAGCTTAACACTGCACTAAGACTTTTGGATACCCTGGATTTAAGGTCAATATCATGTCCCTTCTGATCTTTCTCTAGGCAACATATTCCCAGTTCCCAGGACCATTGTTTTGAGTCCTTTCCCCATCTGGCTGTCCTAAGGAGAAAGCAGATTATATTGCCGTAGCAGGGTGTTGGACTTGAAGTCAGAAAGACTTGGGTTCTAATCCCTAGATACTGTCTACCCCAGACACTTCCTAGCTGTGTGATGCTGTATTTGTATTTCCTCAGGCCAACAAGTATCTATAAAGTCACCTGCAAAATAGTTTGGCCTTGATAACCTCGAAAGTTCCTCTCAGCTCTAACTCTCTGATTTTGTGATCCAAATTCATTCCCTTCTTAATTGTGATGATGAGCCTTGTAGGAAAGATGTCCCTTTCCCCACCATAGTCCAAAGGGATATGTATATGTGAAAAAGAGTCCATAAACCAGGTAAGAGATCCTTCAGGATCCATCCTTTGGTATAACTATAGTCACTTAATCTCCCCAGGCCGCAGTTTCCTCTCCTGTAAAATGAAGAGTTGGATAAGATAGCCTCTGAAGTCTCCTCTAGCTATGATATTATAAAATAAGGTGGGACAACTGGTGCTTCATCACATGGTGTCAAATTTTAGAGGGACCTAACAATATTTGCAACTTTTTGGCAGAAAGATTAATTGTACTTAGCTAATTTATTAATTTAAAGTAATTAAATATTAAATTAATTAAAATAAGAAGCTCCAAGGTAGTTTGCCATTGATCACAATATAGGCGAGCTACCTCCTTAACCCTCTGACAATCACCCTTCCCACATACAGTGGTCTCAGCAGCCATATTGCATTGAACTCTGGGTCTGCAGTCAGGAAGATGAGTTCAAATCTAGCCTCAGACACTTATTAGCTATATGACCCTAGGCAAGTCACTCAACTTCTATCTGCCTCAGTTTCATCAAATCTAAAGTGAGGATAATAATAGCACCTACCTCCCAAAGTTCTTATGAGGATCAAATAATATTCCCACAAAATGCTTAACACAGTGCCTGCAACATAGTAGACATGATAGAAATGTTTATTCCCTTTCCATTTGTGCTTTAAAAGAACTATTTTAAAATTGTGTTGAATATGTATTATAGAGGGCAGAAGCAGTGAACTTAGCAAACAGGGCCCAACATGTGATGTAACTGCTGTCCTTGTCCCATTTCTCTCCATGTCAAGGACTGTACCAATGTTTGCTGTGAGTCCAAGAAGTGTACCCTGAAGCCTGGAAGTGCCTGTGGAGGGGGAGAATGCTGCGAGTCTTGTAAGGTAGGATGCCTTCTTCCACCCAGCTGATTCCAGACACATACATAGGCCAGAAAGCAATGCCTTTTCCTGATTGCTTCACTGATGTGGGATGTCAATAGATGTATCTGCTTTTTTGATTTTTAGATAGTTTTTAGTTATATCTTTTTTTTGTTTTTTAATATGCTTAGATTTTTCTTTCCTCCTTCCCTTTTTTATTCATCTTCCTCCCAACCAGAGAGCCATCTGTGATGAGGACTCTTAAAAAACAAAAGGAAGAAAGGGGGGGAAAACATGCAAAATCAATAAATGCATCAAAACAATATGACATTGGAATGAAGGGTTCACGCTTGTGGAGCCCTGATTATGCAAAGCTGCAGCTGGGAGGTACCATGGAGAGAGCCCTGAACTTGGAAATCTTCCTTGTGACACTTAGTAACTTTGTGACTCTGGGCCGGTATTGCAGCTTTCTCAGCCTGTGCAACAGGGATCATCACTGCACCTACCTCACAGCTTGTTATGAACCTCAAAGGAGAGAACAGAGGATGGAAAGTGCTTTGCAAACTCTCTGAATGCTAGCTATTATTACTATTGTAGCTATAGCCTAGTCAAGACTAGATGAGACAGAATAGGATACTACCCCAACCCCCATTAAAGCAAACAAACACCACCACTAACAAACAACTCAAATGTGCAGACCTTCTACACCTTTCTCCTGACTCTTACAAATTAGGAATGCAAGCATTGCAATGTCTACTAGGAGCCAACCTCTGTACTAAGCACTTGGGATACAAAGAAAGGCAAAAAGAGATGGAACTCCCATTCTAATGAGGGAGACAACATTAAAATATGTTGCTTCGGTCATGTCTGACCCCATTTGGGGTTTTCTTGGCAAAGATACTGTAGTGATTTGCCATTTCCTTCTTCAGTTCATTTTACAAATGAGGAAACTGAGGCAAACAAGGTTAAGTGACTTGCCCAGGGTCACACAGCTAGTAAGTGTCTGAAGAAGATTTGACCTCATGAACATGAATCTTCCTGATTGCAAGCTCAGTGCTTTATCCACTGTGCCACCTAGCCATCTATTAAACATAAATAGGTAAGTACAAATTAAAATAAATAGATAAATGCAAATTATAGACAGAGTAGATGGGAGGTGGCCAGAGAGAGAAAGGCATCAGCAACAGAGGGTACTGGGAAAGACCTAATGCAATTAATTTCCCCTAACTGATAGTCACTCAGTGAATTCTGGATGGTCACTTGTGGCTATCATAGTGGGGTTTCCTTTCCAGGGATAATTTGGACTAGAGGTCTCTGAGCTCCCTTCCAGTTCTGAAATGTGATTCTTCAAAATGTCCTTAATTTCTATTAACATCCATTGAAGCAAAACCATCTCATTTCTCCCCATGTACTGAGTCTTGCCTCAGTGAATGAAGGTCATGTTGTATGTCTTGATCTCCTCTTTTTTCCTGCAGATTAAGAAAGCTGGAGCCCTGTGCAGAACAGCCAAAGATGAGTGTGATCTGCCCGAGGTGTGTGATGGCTTCTCCCCTAAGTGCCCTGTGGACCGATTCCAAGTGAATGGATTTCCATGCCAAAACTCCGAAGGCTATTGTTTCATGGGGAAATGCCCCACTCGAGACAGTCAGTGTTCTGAGATGTTCAAGGATGGTAAGAGGCTACTAGGCATAATGCATAAAGAATGGAATCACTGTTACTCCTCTCTGCCTTGATCCTTCTAAAGGCTGGAAAGATCCTGGCTTTGGAGATTCTGATCATATGTGACCACCCCTCCTTAGTAAAATTACCATGCAAACAAAGAAGGCAACTAGGTTTAGTGGATAGAAGGGCAAGGCTGAGAGTGCTCAAGTCCTGTTTCTGATACATACCGGCTGTGTGACCCCGGACCAGTCACTTACTATCTCAGTGTCCTGAGGAAACTCTCCAAGACAATAAATGTCACAGTAGGAGTTAATCTGGTTTGGCAGAGGGAATTTTCTCACCAGGATTTCCCCACACCAATGAAATCACAGGTTCTGTTCAAAATAAACAAGCTAAGGAGTTCCATGGAATGAATACCGGCTTTGGAATCTAGAATTCCCAGATTCAAATCCTAAGTCTTCTACTTAATATCTATATATGAGAGAAAGGAGGAGGGAGAAAAGAATTTGTTAAGTGCCTACTATGTGCCAGGCACTGTGCTAAGTACTTTATAAATATTATCTCTTTTAATCTTCACAATAACCCTTCAAGATTGGTGCTGTTATTAACCTCATTTTACAATTGAGGAAACCGAAGCAAACGTGAAGTGACTTGACCAGGGTCACAAAGTTAGTAAGTATTTGAGGCTGGATTTGAGCTCAGGTTTCCCTGACTCTAGCTCCACTACTCTATCCACTGAGCCACCCAGCTGTGTGACTTTGTGCAAATCTTGGGCCTCAGTTTCTCAAATTTAAAATAACTAGATAGTTTCTAAAATATCTTCCAGCTCTAAGCCTATGATCCTATGATGTATTGCCCGTACTACCTGAAACCTCATCAGGTGTTAAACTGGTGGCCAAGGCCAAGGCCAATGGCATGTCAGAGAAGCAAAAGTTTAGGCAGGCACTCTAGGATGCAAAAGCTTTGAAGGTGTGTCTGCCATCACAGAACCAATCCAGCTGGTGTCCAAGATGCTCAGCACCAGAAGGCTAGCTGCTGGAGAATGTTGGTTGGAATTGTTATGTTGTTTTTAAATCTAAGACAATTCTTTAAATTAGAGATGGGGTAGGGTTGGTGGAGGAGGATACTCTCTGAATCAGATGAATTCAGGATTCTGGGAAGTATTGTCTAGAACTGTTTAACTTAAGGTATCCCTTCTCAAAATATATATACACATTCACATATGTGTGTGTTGTTGAGTTGTTTCAGTCATGTCCAACTATCTGTGACCCCATTTGGGGTTTTTTTTTTTGGCAAAGATACTGCAGTGGTTACCATTTCCAATTCCAGCTCATTTTACAAATGAGGAAACTGAGGCAAACAGGGTTAAATGACTTGCCATGGGTCACCCAGCTAGTAAGTATCTGAGAAAGGATTTAAACTCAGGAAGACAAGTCTTCTTGATTCCAAGCCCAATGTTCTATTCACTGCACCATATTTAGATAGATAGATAGATAGATAGATAGATAGATAGATAGATAGACAGATAGAAAGATAGATGGATATTTGTATGTATGTATATATGTATATGTGTGTGCATATATGTATATATGTATGTATATATGTATGTGTGTGCATATATGTATATATGTATGTATATATGTGTGTATATGTGTGTATGTATGTATACATGAAAGAGAGAGAGAGAGAGAGAGAGAGAGAGAGATTTGGAGAAGTGCCCCTTGGCCATGCTCACCATTAGTTTAGCATCCAATGATGCTTTGGCAATGGAATCCCCCTTATAAACTCATAGAGCTAGAGCTGGCAAGAATTTTAAAACTCTATCTCAATTCCCTCATTGCAAAGATGTTCTATTACATCAAAAATTATCAATCTGGAAGAATTGTTAGAACGCTTAGTATGTCAGAGCTGGGAGGAGCCTTAGAAAAGAGAATGCCAGAAATGGGGGAAAGGCTTAGAACAGGGAATGTCAATGCTCAGAGGGAAGCCAGATCACAGAATGTCAGGGCTGGGAGGGGACTTAGACCAAAGACTGCCTGAGATGAGAGAGAGCTTTAAACATATGGTTCTCCATAGACAGAGCTGGGAGGACCTAAAACACACTGACCATTTCAGATATACTTCAGTCCTTCCACCTCATTCTGCAGCTCAAGAAAGAGAACTAGAAATGGGCAATCATTTGTTCCAGATCACAGAGCTGGTAAAGAACAGATCAGGGAAGGGAAGGGTTTTGAATGGAAGCCTTTTGACTCTAGATCCCAAGTTATTTTCATTCATATCAATTTATTATATAGAGAGAATCACATAATCATAAATTTAGAGCTGAAAGTAACCTTTGAGGTCATCTAGTCCAACTTTGTCATTTCACAGATGAGAAAACTGAGGCCCAGAGCAGGGAAGGGACTTGTTCAAAGTCACATAGCAGAGGGAAGATTCAGAGATAATTGATGTGTGACAGTGTTTCCCTCCTTACACATCTTTATTAACGTCTTGCCTGGAAGTAATAAGTATAATTCTTCAATTTAGCAATTATCTTATTGTTCCCTAGGCCAGTTTATAGCTTTGTTCCTTACAAACCACCCCAATACTTGTGGATTGATGGTGGCCAAGTTAATTAAAGAACAGTCTAATGGATTTGAATCCCAAGACTGGAAAGTCCATGAAGACCAGACCATGTTGTATCTAAGCTTTGTATCTCCACCAGTGTTCTGTACACAGTAGATACTTATGAAATGTTTTTTGAAGGAACAACTGAATCCTGTTTTATCTTTTGTTGTTTTCCATGTCTTTCTTTGTTTCTACTTGACTCTTTTATCGGTTTCTCATCTATCTTCCCAGAGGCTAAAAGCGGTCATGATATCTGTTATGAAAAAAATAAAGGAGGACATAAATTTGGTTACTGCAAAAAGGTGGACAATAGATTTATTCCCTGCAATGAAAAGTAAGTGTCCTGTGGATAGAAATCAGTGCACACCAGTGACATATTCCGAAGTCAGCCTGTTGATTTTCTCACAAGCAGAATGAAATAGCAGCTATTGACTCATCCTACAAATGATAGCTGAGGGAGCAGGCCACCCTTGCTCTTGCTAGTTAACGGAGAAGACTAGACTATATTCATTAACTGAAGGACACATGAGGTGAAGAGGGAAGGGTCAGAGGACATAAGACACTTAAAGAGGAAAGGAAGAGACATGACAACCGAAGAGGAAAAGAAGAAAGGGCAAGGAAGAAGAAAAGAAAGAGAAAAATGGGAAAATAAAATGATGATATAGGTTATAGGCTTAGATGAGCTTTAAAATCCATATAATCCATCCTTCTCATATTATAATTCAGGAAAGTAAGGCCCATCCAGATGAAGTGACATGTGCAAAGACACAAAATTAGTAAACGGCAGGACTCCGATTCAAACCTTGGTCTTCTGACATCAAATTCACCACTCTTTCCACTGTGCTGTGTTGTACATAAAATACGTAGTCACTTAACCTTTCTGGGTCTCATTTTCTTCATCTGTAAAATGATGGTGTTAGACAAAAAGGGATCCCTTCCAGAGAACCACAGAGTGGGATGGAAGCAGGAGAGAAAGAGGAAAGAGCAGAGAGAAGAAGAAAATAAGAAAAGGTCTAGAAAGTTAAGATTTGTGGGCCCTGATCCCAGATCTATCAAATATTGCTAAGAGACCTTTAGCATATCTCCCAACTTCTGGATATCTACATGGCTTCATCTCACAATTTGTCCTATGATTATTTTGGAGAAATCAGAGAGCAAATAAATATCATCCTGTGCCCTATGAGCCACTGAAGACTATTTTTTTCTCTGAAGAATCAATTCATTGCCTCCTCAGCTCTTGACCTTTTCTTTCCTGACACCTTTCCAAACTGAGCTGATAAGTCTAGAACTGGAACCTTGGTTTGAGGAACTGAGGAATGATATCTTTGAACAGCTAGTGGTCAACTAGCCTTTAGCAGTTGATCTTTGGTCCTGCCTGGCTAATACCTTCCCTATTTATACCAAAGGCACCACCATTTGTCCACTTACCTAGATCCCTTGTCTCATAGGTATCCTCAACTTTTTTTCTCCAGTACACCTCTCATATCTAATTTGTTGCCAAGTCTTATCAATTACATTTTTTTTTACCTCTCTCCAATCCATTTGTCCCTATACTCACACTTCAACCACTTTAGCTTAAGCCCTCGTACCTTCTCTCCATGACTGGCCTATCTTTTTTCTCCCATTCTTCTTTTTTTCCTCTAATGATGTCTTTGATGTTTCATCTCCCCAGTACCACCCCTGAGCTATTATAATGACCTCCTAATTGTTCTCCCTGCTTCAGTCTCTTCCCTCCCCAATCTGTCCACATGAATGTCAAGTTGACATTCCCAAAACATGAGTATGACCATGTCAGTCCCATGCTAGAAATTTCAGTGGCTTGCCATTGATTTAAGAAAAAAATAAAAACTTCTTTCTGACATTTAATGCCCTTCACAATCAATAGTTCAACATAATACTACTTCCCATTTTCCATCTATCTGTCTTTTCTGGGCTGCCTACTGTGCCTGGAATGATCTCCCTCCTCAAATCTACTTCTTGGAATCCCAACTCCCTTCAAGTCTCTGCTGAAGTGTAACCCCTTTCTAGAGACCTTTCTTGAATTCCCCTTATGCTATCACTGCCTCTATAAATCACCCTGCTTATATTTTTTGTAGATACTAAATTTTCTTATCTATGAATGTGATGTACCAGGTTTTTTTTAAGTAAAAAAAGAAAATGACACCAAAGTGATTAAATTTTGCTGCTGAAATATAAAGACAACAGTGTGTTAGGTGGAGATGAACTTACTTCTTTTGCTTACCTTTTGTTTTGAAACAAATTCATTTACATGCTAAGCCAAAGATGATATTGGTAGTATCTGTTTTAGGAATTTGGGGAAAGAATATTTCCCCTCTCCTCCCACTTCCCAATCCTAAACTCCTTGAAGGCAGGGACTATTAGCTTTTGTCTTTGTATCCCTAGGGCTTAGCATGGGAGGTATTCAATTAAAGCTTCTGGACTTTTGTTGTTTTTGTGAAGTCAGGAAGGAGATGCCATCACATGCAAGTGAATTGGATTTAAATGAGGGAGGGCTGTGCAAAGTCACCAGCCTCACTTTCTCCTCCAGAGCCATCTAGATCCAGCAGCCAGAAATAGATCAGGACAACTAGAGATTGCCCAAAATGCAGTGGGGGACTTTGGTTTTTTCAAGCTAAGGTCTGACTGAGGTAATGTGCATTCAGTGATTGAGGCTTAATAAGAAATGAGGCAGAGAATGGCCTCTTTACCTAGTCAAAAAAAATTATCTAGGAGGGAAAGACCCTCAGGGTTTCTAGTCAAAACAGACACAATTGCTATTTACATTCAGAGTGATTGATGATATGAGCATATTCATGGGTCTTTACAGAGATCTTAAATGTGGGAAGATATACTGCACTGGAGGCCAGTACTTTCCAACTTACGGGGAGGACAAAACCTACCACCTTAAGGTTCCAGAGAAGAATATTACAGTGGAATGCAAAACATTCTTCCCGTTCCAATACACAGAAGATATAGGCATGGTGGCTTCAGGAACAAAATGCGGGGATGGAAAAGTGAGTTTAAAAGGTTTTTTTTTTCCTTCCTCTATCTTTTCCTCCCTTTCTTCCTCCCTTCTCTCCTCTGTCCCTTTTCCCCTTCCTCTCTTCCCTTCCTTTTTCTCCCTCCTTCCTTCCTTCCTTCCTTCCTTTCCTTTCCTCCCCACCTCCTCTCTCTCTTTTTTCCCCCTTTGTTTAAAATTTTAATGTGACTTACCTATTTCTTTAAGGAAAAAAAATCATAGAAAGTTATAATTGGCTCCAAAGGGACCTGTGCATTAAGAAGCAAGAGACACTAGAATTTGTCCTGTGCTGGCCAAAGTATAAAGCAAACATTTCCATTGACTAAATTTCAGTTGCAACTGATAATAAAATGCACTTGTTATGAGTATACTTAGCCAGCACTTTAAAAAGTGTGCACTTTCTTTTTGAGTCAACCTCACAAATTCATTATATCTATTCGTACTCTGGAATTTCACTGAGGTGGGTGTTCTCTTCAGCAATGCAGATTGCAGCCTCTGCATGCCTGCTGATGCCATGCGCCACTATGTCTCTACTGAATTCAACCCAGACTGTCCATCCACAGCCCCTTCCTCTGGATTTCTTGACAATGTATGGAGTATTTGAATATCCATTAGTTAACCTTTGCTCTTACCACATCTCTATCTTCTTTTCCACACAATCTTCTCTCTGAGGTCTTTGGTAATATAATTCCTGTGCCATTCTCCATTTTTTTGCATGTTGCAAACAACTGACAAACAGCACATGACTCACTGTTGTCCTTTACACTCAGCTCTGATCCTTTATAGGGCCATCCTTGTCTGTTAGCCTCAAAATCAATTTTCTCTAACAAGGAGAGTTTAAGAGTGGTGTCATGGTTGTTGGGCCAAGGGGGTGGAGTCTTCACTTAGAGCCAGTAAGATTGTCTTTGAATCTCCTTCCATAGTATCATTTTATGTATCAGTTCCTCCCATAGAGCACCCCTCTTGACTCTGGGCATTTTCATTGGCTGTCCCCCCACATTTGGAATTCTTTCCCTCATCTCTGCCAACTGTCTTCCTGGTGTCTTTCAAGGAATTACTAAAATGCCACCCTCAACAGAAAGCCTTTCCCAATCCCCTTAGTTCCAGCAGTTGCCTTCTCTTGATAATTTCCTATTTATCTCATTTACCTCTTATTTGTACACAGTTGCTTGCATGAGTGAACTCCATGACAGTGGGTACTAGCTGTGGGTTTTCTTTGTAACCCCAGCACTGAGCACAAGACCTGACATGTGCTGTTGTTGAGTCATTTGGGTCATGTCTGATTCTTCATGGTACCACTTGGAGTTTACTTGGCAAGGATACTGGACTAGTTTGCCATTTCCTTCTCTAGCTCAATTCACAGATGAGGAAACTGAGGCAAACAGGGTTAAGTACTTACCCAGGCTCACACAACCAGGAGGTATCTGCAGCATGATTCAAACTTTGGTACTCCTGACTACAGGCCAGGTGCTTTATCTACTGCACCACCTAGCTACCCCACCTGGCACATAGTAGTTGTTTAATAAATGCATGTTGATTTTACCTTGAGAAGTGACAACTCCCTTAAGCCTCAGTTTCTTCTCCCATAAAATGGAGATAATATTAATGGATGAGTTTTATATTGTAGAAGACAAAAGAAGCTGGATATTCCCATCAAGTTTGAATGAACAGTAGGAATCTCAAAAGTATAGAGTAATGAAGAAAAAGTCAGTCTTGGAATCAAGATCTTCAGTTCCTGTCTCTGACAAACTGCCTGTGTGATCCCAGACAAGTCATTTAATTTCTATTTGTCCCAGGCTACTTACTAAGAGATATAAGTACTATAATGGTAGCAAGAGTTACCTTGCCAGAAAGTCCCTATCCTGATGACATTAGTGGTCTGTACTCTTTCTCTTCCAAAACACACACACGCATGCTCAAAAGTCTGACACAGAAGCATGCATACACACACCCCATATCCTACATCATCCAGAGTATAAACGGAAATACATGGGTATCTGTGGGTGTATACACACACACACACACACACACACACACACATATATATATACACACACATACATATACACATACATGTGTGGATGTATGCATGTATATATACATATATACACATATATATTGCTTTGTAAAACTTGAAGTATCATAGACATTGAAACAAACATACATAAATACATATATTAAATGTGAAATAGCATACTTATTAAGTTGTGAGAGAAAATTGATTTTGAGGCTAAAAAAACTAAGAATGTAGAGTGAAGAAATAGATTCATATGTGAAGACAAGGATTACTGTAAATGCATGTAGATGAATGGATAGCTAGACTTAGACAAATATGGATATGTGCATTTTGTATGTGTATATTGTCATATATATGTATATATAGGCATGATCTTAAAGTAAATAGTTATTTTTAATTGTATTCCCTCTGGAATGCCTGTGTTCCTGTGTTTCCTTCTCTTCTCCCTGCTTGTCAGTCTGCCAGATAAATTGGAGTAAGGGAAGCCTAAGGGAGTCAAGAAAGCTGGGTTCTAGTCCCAGTTCTCCTGGGTGTTAATTAGTGCTGTCGAAGACCTGGAATTATTGGCAATTAGCTATATGGGTAACCTTTTCTATGTCTAATTAAAGGACAAACCACCTTTGTTCTTTGAATTATTTAACACCCCCATGTTTTTTTTGGGGGGGGGAGGAGAAGATGTCTACTGGGTAGCTACAGGACAAGGCAGGAGTCAATTAACCTTTCTGGGGCCAGGACCAATTAAGGTCCTTTCTAGCTCTACCATTCTTTGATTTCATAATTCTTGTGACTGGTTGTAAAAAGTCAAAAAAAATTCTATAAACAGGAAAGGAGGAGTTTTCTGGTCCTGTTCAAATTGAAAACACCAAAAAAAATCCAAATAATCTGGTTTTGTGGCTGATGAGTATGCATGATCAAGAGGACAGTGTGGGTTAGGTGACTGGAGAAAAACAAATCTTCTTTAGCTTGTCTTTGGTTTTGGTTCAAGTCTTTGCACACTAAACCAAATGGTATCTTTGGGGGTACCTAAAAATATTAGAAATTTGGTGCTGTCTTCCACCAGGCCCAGCCTCAGAATGTTAATTCTGTTCTTCCATCTCATCTTGAGGACATACTATATGATTTAGGCTCTACCACAGTGGAAGCAAAAGGAACAGTAGTAGCCAGGCAGCATAGACAGATGCAATTAGTTGCAGGCCAGGGAGTCTGAAACTTGGAGGCCACAGATCTAAAGCAAAGAGATTCACTAGTATTGGCTCATAAGCCACATACCTTAGCAATGCATCCATCTGCTATGAGTTTGTTTTTTTCCCCTTTTTTATAGATTAAAATAAAGTTTTGTTAAATGTCTGGACCTCAAATACTGGACCTTAATGTGGATGGCATTTGGGCATCAATCTTCTTTGCAGATAATCTAGTAAATCTGTGATCTCACTGTGATCTCATCTGTGATTTTATGATGGATGCAATTCACAACCCAGCCAAGCTGGCCTGGCCTGTGCTACTCTTGAGTCTACTTTCTCTTATCAATTTATATGTATGCTGCACTCAGTGTCATGGATGGGGGTCTTCATACTATTCTTTTGGTGTCACCAGGATAGAAGTGTTGTTCAGCACCAAGTATGTTCAAGATAGAGTGCTGAGTGCTCCCAGGAACACAAAGAAAGGTAACACATAGTCTATGGCTCCTGGAAGCAGATGATCCAGGAAAAGATGCAAATCCCTTCAAAGAGTCTATAATTCAGTTGGGAAGGCAATACATATGTGAATGAAGAGGCCACCAATGAAGACTGCCTTTGGATATCATTTCAAAAATTCAATATCCAGAGAGGGGGAAATTTGGAGAATTGAATTTGACTATCTCTCCTCAACCCCATTGGTTAACTTTGTTATTCAGGTTCAAGTTTTCAAGAAACATAGGAAAAAGAATTCATTCAAAATCCATTGAATGGTTTTCAAATGATAGTGACATTCTTACTCTTTTATAAAAGATACAAGAAAACACATGCATTCCTTGATCCATCTCACTGTTACCCTTTGGGTCCTAGGCTTTGTCTGGCCTGAGTATAATAAGGTTGAATACATACTGTAACTAGTCTCTAGTGATCAATTCTAGTAATTGCCTAGACTAGTAGGTATTATGTAGATCTTTAGAGCTTTGAGTTTCCTCTTCCTTGCTCTGCCAAGGAAGACAGACAGAATTATATACTGCCCTCTAGAATGCCCCAAATCCTATCCCTGCTCAGAGATTTCAAACACAAAGATTGGTACAATGACTTAGGAGTCAGAGTCTGAAGTCATGGATATTTAACAGTACAACTGTGTCTATCCCAGAATCATACAAAACCTGGGAGTGAGAAGGGACCTTAATGACCCTTTAGTTCAACCCATACATGAAAAAAATCCCCATTACAATCTACCTGGCAAACGTGTCCATGTTTCTGCTTGAAAATCTCAAAGGAGGAAGAATCCACACCCTCCAAAAGTGGCTCCTTCCACTTTTGGATAGCTCTAATTGTTTGGAATGTTTTTCATGATATCAATCTAAAGCTCCTTGTCACCTTTCCTCTTCTGGTTAAAGGGACCTGATGGAACACAGTCAACAAAATTAGCATCCTTTTCCTCTTCAAAGTACCTGTGATGTGTTTATCTTTATGTATATTGTATCCATCAGAAGATGATAAGTCACTTGAAGGCAGTGGCCATTTTGTGTTTATCTCTTTACCCCCAATGTCTAGTACAGTGTTTGGCACATATAGGTGAATAATAAATATTTGCTGAATGGCTTGAATTGAACAATTCAGTAGAGTACATATTTAATGAATCAGAGTGGCAAGATAATGCCTATTCACCTTTATCTATCACTTCTAGGTGTGCAAAAATGGTGAATGTGTGAATATTGAGACAGTCTATGACTCCACCAATTGCTCTTCCCAGTGCACAGGAAATGCTGTAAGAGTTAATTTTTTAAGTTTCATATGTTATAAATTATCTAGTTTTTGTTGAACTCATCCCTGATCCTACATAGATTCAAGTCATTTTAAGGATGTCATTAAATTGATTGAATAGCTAGAATTGATGTTTTTTATTGTGGATATGTTGATACACATATAAACAGTGGATTTTTTTTCTTATTATTTTCCTAGACATGTCAAACCCAAAACTGGCAACTTTATTACATGTTTTTGGTTTAAGAACAACCTCTGACCTTTGCTCTTTAATCACCCACCTCTGTTACTTACAACCTTAGGGAAATCACTTAACCTTTCTTTATCTTTACTTGTAAAATAACAGGGTTGTATTTGATGGCCTCTAAGGTATCTTCCACTTGTATAAATCTATAATCTTATGACTAAAATGTCAGATTTGGAATGCATCCTATCTATGAAAATGGCCCAAGTCCAGTGCAAAGACCAGCAAGTATCACCGCTGGTCAAAAATCCTTAGAAGAATGTAAATTTCCAGTATTGATCATAATGAATCATTAAGCACCTATAATTGCTATTAGAAGTTCTCTCTCTCTCCCTCTCTCTCTGTCTCTCTCTCTCTCTCTCACACACACACACACACCTTTTGCACCACTTAGTGAGCCAACCACTTTCATTTTGGAAAAGGTTTAACCTTGACCCACTTCTTTGCCTAATATCAACATTACCTAAGATAGCTAGACTATTGTCTTTGGCCATAAGTTCTCAGACTGAGTCACTAAAGATTTGTTGTGTTTTGTTCTGTTTTGTTTTAAGAAAGGATTTTCCAAATGCCTTACATTTCGGTCTAAAGAAAATAAGACAGTGCTTCCTAGACATTTGAACTATTATTAGACTCTGTGTTCCTCCAGGTTTGTGATCATGAACTCCAGTGTCAATGTGAAGGGCTGACACATCCCAATTGTGAGGACACCGAGTTTACTACCAGTGAGTGGCATGGTTCATGATATACCATCAATATCCAAAGGCTTATCTTTTTGAACACTGGTCCTTTATTCATCTGCTCCATTGCTGCTTCTGCATATATGCCTGTGTTTACTCACTTGTAATTTCGGGGAGAAGGGGTAATAGTGGGAAGAGAGGCAAGTTTTATTAAACAGAAACAGCCAGATGGTGCAAGAAATAGAGCTTAGAGTCAGGATGACCTGAATTCAAATTCTGTCTCAGACATTTACTGGCTGTGAGACCCTGGACAAATCACTTACCCTCTGTCCGCCTTAGTTTTCTTATCTGTAAAATGGGGATAATAATAGTACCTAGCTCCCAGAGCTGTTCTGAGGACAAAATGAGCTAGTATTTGCAAAGCATTTTGCAAACTTTTATGTTCTATAAATTCTAGTTATTATTAAACATTAGCAATGTCCATTATAAATTACAAGATACTTAATAATTATACTATTGCAACCATAATATGTTTATACTTTTAATAAATAGTTATAATTAACAATATAATTATAATCATACTAATCTCTAATGGTTCCTTCTAGGATGGAATGTTGGTACAATACAAAGGCTATGAATTTGGAAGAGAGGTTATGGGTTTGAATCTCAGTTCTAGAATTTATTGTCCGTGAAACCCTGGGCCATTGACTATGCCCCTCCTCCCGAGACTTAGTTCCTACATGAGTAAAATGAGGTCCCTACCAGCTTGAACTCTTTGATCCCTTGATATCTAGCATTCCATGATTCTCAATGTGCATGTATAAGCTTGGTCAGCCATGTTATTCTTCTATATCTAACATGCCTTACCTTCCCCCTCTCCTACCAAGATAAAAACAAAAAAGTTTTAGAATTAGTGTTCCTTGTTGGAATAATTCTAACTGAATCTTACTTCAATCCTTTGAGAAGTCACAATAAAATGGGTTTTATAGATACTCAGTTAATTGCTGCCAAGCAAAATTTTGCATGAATTGTGTTTCTGCTAGGCATAATGGAAGTATGGGCATAGCCCCAGCTCCTAATGGAGATAAGTCTTGTGCAGACTTCAACTTCATTAGTAATAAAGCAAAGCTATTTCAAAAATGAAAGCCCTTGAGACAAGAAGTGTCAGGGACAGAAGTCGGATAGGGCCAAGGACTTGCTTTGTTAATATTTTAGCTCTACTAAGTTCTTACAGAGTACTACTGCCCATGCCCTCCATGTTGCAGATGTCTCTATTGTGGCTGGAGTGCTGACCGTGGTTCTGGCCACAGTTGTGATTGCTGTTTTGTTTGTCCATCGCCAAAAGGCCAGTAAGCAGAAGCAAGTTCATGGGTAAAACACCTTCTTTTAGATGGGGTAGAGGGGAATGTCTGGGTCTGGAATCAAAAAGGCTCTGGACATGAGAAAGAGGGGTGAGTTCAAAGGATTTGAGTGAATAAAACTAACACTTTCCTCCCCCAGTCCTCCCACCACCACACCTGCAGTGGACAATCAAGGGCACTCAAGTGAGGAGCCACAGCAGACCAGGACTGAGCCTGTTGTTTACACTCAAGATGTAAGGAATTTACTGGAAACTAGTTAACATTTCTGACTATGTCACTTGCCCAGCACTGTTCTAGGTGCTGTGGTATATAAAGAGACTATAATGTGCATTCCTTTCACATAAGAAACTTAAAATATTTAGTGTTGTTGTTTTTAACTTTGAGTTTTAGCTGAACCTTTAATTTCAAAAGTATAGAGAGCTCCCAATGAGAAAACTTCCTTTATCAAAGGATATTAGCACCTGTTACACAATATATTCATCAGTTAACAAGCCTTTATTAAATGCCTGCTATATGCCAAGCAATTTATAGTTTTACAAACTTTCCAGTAGTCACTGAAAATTTGTGACTTGTCAATAATAATGGTGGCAGTGGGAGTACTAGTAATAGTAGTAGTAGTAGTAGATGTAGTAGAAGTAGATGTAGTAGTAGTAGTAGTGGTAGTAGTGGTGGTGGTAGTGGTGGTAGTAGTGGTGGTGGTGGTGGTGGCGGCGGTGGTGGTGGTAGTGGTGGTGGTGGCAGTAGTAATAGTAATAGTAGCAGGAAGAAGAGGAGGAGTGGTGGTGGTAATAGTTAGAATTTGCATATATATTGATCTTCACAACCACTTATCAGGTAGATGTTATTATTTTCTCCATTTTACAGATGATGAAATTGTAATTGACAGCATTAAATGGGTAAGATCCCAAAGTCTCAGAGTTAGTATAAACTTAACCCCAAGGCCATCCATCACTCCTCTATACTACTTTGGCTTAGTTAAATTCCAATGTACTTAAGGAGATACCTTTGTGAAGTGGATAGAGTGCTGGACTTAGAGTCAGGAAGACATGCATTTATATTTTTCAGTAAGATTTGAATTCTAATCCTGCCTCAAGCCATTTACTATCTGTGTGACCCTAGTCAAGTCACTTAACTACCATCAGCCTTAGTTTTCTCATCTGGAAAATGGGGATAACAATAGCACTTACCTCATAGGGTTATTGTAAAGACACAATGAGATAACATCTGTAAAGTTCTTTGGAAATCTTAAAGTGTTATATAGATGTTCCAAGTCTTTGTGCAGTTTTAAGGTATGAAATCTTTTTTTTTTTTAACTTTTATTTATTTTATTTTTAACTTAAGGAATAAAACAAGCATTCTCATGACATAGCATAATAAAATAGATGATTGTACTTAAAACTGCCAATCTATTATGGACAACTTGCTATTCCTTTTAAATATATGATAAAGTTATGTAAATCTATTTTCCCCTTTCCCCCCCCTCACCCTAGAGATGGCTACCTTTAGACACAAATATGTACATATGTAAAATCATTAAGTAAAATCATAAGATACTAAATCTCAAAGCTGCACTAAGACTTTTGGGACATCCTGTATGACTGTTATGATAATTATTATTGTTGTTGTTAGGTTGACTCAGATATTCAGTAAGAATGTAATCCTGGGAAACTCTGAATTTCAGTTCTCTTATATTTAAAAAGGGGAAAAATAGCTCCTAGCTCAATTTTTTTTTTTTAGGATTGAATAAGACAATACATTTAAAAGCCTTTGCAAATACTATATAAATGTTAATTATTTATTATAACCATAATAATTGCTATTATTATTATCATTAAGATAAACTATACATACATGAAATGGGATGATATTATAAGGTATGAGGGTAGCCCTAGTCAGTCAGTCAGCCAATAAACATTCCCTACATGCTAACTATGTGCCAGGCACTGGCTGCTAAAGACAATCCCTGCGCTCAAGGACCTCATAGTCCAATAAGGGAGACAAAAAGCAAGTAAGTGTGTACAAGCAATCTATATACAGGATAAATTGGAGATAATCAATAGAAGGAAGAAAGAACAGGAAAGGATTCCTGTGGAAGACGGAATGTTGTCTGGGACCAGAAGGAAGCTGGGGAAGCCAGGAGGTAGAAATGAGGAAGAAGAACATAGATGTTTGAAAACTCTGTCATTAGCGTGGCAGCAGTAGGAGGTCCTTCCAGTATGAGCTGAAAATGCATTGAATATGAAGCCACGGTCAGACTCAGTGCCCGCCCTCCGCCAACCAGCCTAGCTAGACTCAGGGAACGTCTTCACCACGTTGGCCACAGAAAAATTCAATTTGGGACACAGTGGCCTCTCCAAGACTTTCTCCTAAGGCACAGAAGGGAATAACCAGTAACAAAACTGCAGGTCATTAAATTGTTAAGTATCTGTGGTGCAATGGGCTCGTCAGTGCCACTCAGGGGGCATCAGGTATATCACAAATTCACTTGGTCTGTATTTTAGCTGAGAACATTGCCAGATTTCCACATAACCAATTGCCCAACTGGGAGAACGCAATGGAGAGGAATGCTGCCAGAGTTTATTTTATTATCTATAAATTCTCTAAGGGGAGTTTTGGGGTTGAAGTCAGGGAATTTATTTTGTTGCTATGAAAAGTTTTCACATTGCCTTGAATGTCTGCAGTAACCTGAGGTTACCCACCACCATATTTTTTTTTGCCTATCAGCAAAATGCTTCAGACACCTTTGAGGATATCCCTGCTGGTTATTCAAGTCCACAGTACATTACCATGGTAAGCAGCTTCCCTCTTCTCTTCGTAACATGGATTTCTTTTATTCCTGTGTGTTTTTAGGGCTTCTGCTATGTCCTTACACTACCCTTGCAGGAGGTTTTCTTAAACCCAGATCAATATTGAGGGGTAAAGACCAGGTGTTCCAGGCTAAAGAGCAAAAGATTAGGGATACAGACTCTATTGATTTCAAGATTTTAGGGAGAATACGTACAACCAGAGGCTTCCCCACTGTTCACATTAAGGATTCAGCAAAGGCAGGAATGATTGAGCTCAACCAACTGGAACCATCCATTAATTTTCTCCTGAATTCAATTTCATGAAAAATAGACATTTCAAGAAAACAAGCCCATACCAGAGAATTAGTTTGTTGTTGTGGTTGTTTTCAATATTGGATCAGCGGAGATTAGTCATAGGAACATTTCAGCCATCAATTCTGGGCTTTCAGAGTTAAATCTTTCTTGCCTGACAATAAGAATTTCAGTTCAGAATTATGACATTCAAAGAGCTGCAACCATATAAGAAAGGCTTAGGTTTATTCATCAGATTATCCTCATTGAAGAACATATTATATATGTATGTATGCATATGTATATATACATGTATGTATGTGTATATGTATGCATATACATTGTATATAAAGTATATGTGTGTGCATATGTATGTAATAATCATAATCAATAAGAGGTGGTCCTGAGAAAGGGATCTCTGATTAATCCTCAGTTTACCAGAACAAATCTGTGGACAAGAATCCCAGTTAATCTTTTATATTTCACACTGTGCCCTAACTTTTATCATTTCATATGTTGATCTCAATTATTTTGGTAGGGAAAGAATGATTTTTTTTTGGTAGGGAAAGAGGAGCTTGTGGAGACAGTGATGTGTCAATGGAGTCTAATACAATTTAACTGGTTTGCTTTAGAAATCAGTTGGTAAGGAATCCAGAGGAGTTCCAGTTGCCAACCAAAATGTTAGAATGGTAAGTATCATGTGCATGGAAGATGGCACCAAAGTTCCCTCAAACATTGATGGTTTGTTGATTGATATTTTCTAGCCATGGCTGGAGAGAGAAGGGCTGGAATTAGATATATTGATACACAAAGGGTCCTGACATGATTCTGCCAGGCACTCATTAATATTAGAAAGCCCAAGGGTTGAAGCTATAATTCAACAGTGTCATTGAAAAACAGTCCTGGCCAAGAGACAGAATCTACTGCTAATTATAGAATAAAGATAGATTGCTTTTTAAATCATAATCTACTTTTTTTCTTTATTGATATTTGCTTAAAGTATCCTTATGTCTTATATTAAAGTGTCCTTCATCTTATAACACAATATTCAGGACTTTATGAGACATAATTACTGTAAATTATAGAATTGACTTAATTAGATCATGGTCTCTAGAGCAAAAAAGGAATTTGGACACCAAATATTCCAAACCACAAATTTTACAAAAAAAGAAACTGAGACCCAGAAAGCAGAAGTGACCTGGCCAAGGTCATACAAGTGAGACAGACTGAATTGAAGCCCAAGCCTCCCATAACAAGACTTTTTTCCATTATACTACGTTATCACTCACTATGGGATTTCTTTTTTCTTCATGCTGGATTCAAGGATTCTTAGAAGTTCTGAAGGCCGGTATTCAGTTTGAGGCTCCTGGGTTAGCTATTCCTGCGTTAGGCAAATCTATTGGAGGTTGAAATGGGCAAACAATTTCCAAATCCAAGTTTGATCAGTACAGATCTTGGGCCCACTTCCACAGATGTGGCTAATGTCTAGTAGAACAAAAGCCTGGAGATAGCCTTCTGCATTCTGAGGATGTCTACTTCCCTCTAACCCCTCTCCTTAGCCATAACCTTCACTCAGTTTCTGTCTTCTCCTTAGCCACCTGCAAAGCCAAGGATTCCTCCACCACCAATTCCTACCATGACACCACCTTTCTATCCCCAGGTGAGATGATTATGCTTATCCAACCTAATCCAATCTAGTCCAGTTCAGTCCAGTCTAATCTAGTCCAGTCCAGTCCAATTCCATTCATTCCAGTTTAGACCAGTCCAACCCAGTTCAGTCCAGTCCAATTCAATCCAATTGAATTCAGTCCAGTTTAATCCAGTCCAAAACAATCTAATTTGGTCCAAACCACTCCAAATCAGTAAATATTTATTAAGAGATTTATTAGGAACTATAATATGCAAGAGCAAAGAACTATGCTGGCCTGGGAATGCAGAGATGTGACAAAAATAGTTATCACCCTTCAAGGAACTTACATTGGCATGGGAGAGAAGGGATATAACATGTGTAGACAAACATATACATAGTACTCTGGCAAGAGGAAAGAGGGGTGAACTCCAACAAGAAAGCTTGGGATTCTAAGAGGTGAAGTTGAGGAGAGAATGTTAAGTGATGGATCCCAGGCATGATGCACAGCCAAGCAGAAGCAAAGAAG